TAGGTAGATATAGATAGATAGATAGATAGATAGATAGACAAATAGGTAGGTAGATAGGTAGATAGGTAGATGGATCGATCGATAGACATATGAATAAACAAAAAGTTTAACTATTTGCGATGTTGCTCAATGACAGCTGTGCTACATCTCAGTACGTGTTGATAGTGTACCTCCAGTATCTGCAAAATAGGTGTGTCTAGTCATGTACTTTGGCCTTTAAGGGTCCCTATACCATGAGGTCTGGCTCAAAGAAACATCTGGGCTTTTGTGCGTGGACCTTTTGGGGTCTTTAGCATGGGCTAAGATTTGCGAGTCATCTGGGAGTTTCCGAAAATAAGGGTACCTTATTTTGGAGTCCTTAAAATACGGATCCTACTATTTCGGGTACTGTATTAGGGTTCTCCATTTTCGGAAACCCTCATCTGGCTCCTGAAAGTCGAGCTGCTCATCCTGGATGGAAGTACTTGTGTGGCCAAGACGCGTTCGTTGAGAAAGGAAAGCAACAACCAATGCGAGGCTGACATGTCAAAGCATCCCATGCCGAATCATTAATATAGGGGCCTAAAATAATTACCTTTACTATTTTGGGGGGCTCCTTGTCATAATTGTGGCATAATGGGCCCAAAATCCCATTCTAATTATTAGGGCCCCTGCATTACCTCTGCAAGAAGACCGCTGCAGTCTCAAATGCTGGCTGGAACCCCTAAACCCTTAAACCGCTAAGCCCTCAACCCTGAACCCCTCAACCCCTAAACCCTAAACGTCTGGAGCGTTGCCATCCACAGCAACGACCACCCTTGAATCTCCGATGGCAGGGAGCCAGAGAAGTCACAACCTCAAGCCTGTCTCTGTAATCCCACACCCTAAGAAAGCCCTAACCCCTTCACTCGAAATCCGGAACCCTAAACCTTAAATAACCAACCCTATAAACCCTTCACCCTAACGCCTCAACCCGAAACCCGAAACCCCTAAATGGCCCGAAACCCTTCACCCTAAAAACCCTGAATCTTCAAGTGTCGACGCCGAAGCCCAAGTCAAAGCTGAGGTCTCAGACAAGGCTTCGACCCAGCGAGCCCCATTTTAGGGTTTCTCGGTTTAGGGTTTGGCTGTTTAGGGTTTAAGGGTTAGGGTTGTTTTGTGGTTAAGGGGGTTCAGGGTTGCGGGGTTTAGGGTTTAGCCCCCCATTTAGAAACAGCTGATAAAATATTCAGAAGACAGTCTAATTCTAGAGAATTGTCTCAGAAACCATTTTTCCACGAATGATGCATCCTGCATCTGGCTCACGGAGGGTCACTTTGAGGTCATGTCTTGAACCCTAAAACCCCTAAGCCGAAACCCACTGCGAAGGCCCCAAAGCCCTAAACCTGAGGAGGGGAGTAAGGAGCTTCAACCAAAGCCCTGAAAACCCGAAAATCTAAACCCTATAAACCCTAAGGCCCCAAACCACAAAACCCTAAACCCTAAAACCATAAAGCCCTAAAGCCCCAAACCCCAAAACCCTACAAACCCCAAAGCCCTAAAAGCCCCAAACCCCAAACCCCAAAACCCCATAAACCCTAAAGCCCTAAAAGCCCCAAACCCCAAAACCCCTAAACCCTAAACCCCTAAACCCTAACCCCTAAACCCTAAACCCTATACCCTAAACCCTGAACCCTAAACCCTATATTACCGGATCTCTTCCTCCTTGACAGCGGCGGCTCGCTCGCGCATCGCCGCGGAGCTTGAGACCTCGGCTCAGAAGCCCCAAAGCGCCCTAGGGCACTTTCGCTTAGAGGACTTGGACCTGTAAAACCTCAAACCTTTCTTCCCTTTCTTTCCCTTTTCTTCCCGTGTTCTTTCCCTGTTTCTTTCCCCCTTTTTCTTCCCTTTTCTTCCCCTGTTCTTTCCCTGTTCTTTCCAAGTTCTTCCCCTTTTCTTCCTCGGTCTGAGGGGGGCCTCTCCCCTCGGCTCCGAGCTTCTTGGAGGAGCTCCACGATCTCTGCTGGCGTCTGGAACTTCAAGGCCTGTCTCAAAGACTCCAATATCCCTTAATTAAGGAATATACCTTAAATCATATTCGGGATCCTACTATAATAAGTTCAAGGCCTTTCCCAAATGGGAAAATACTTGGAGGATCATGGGACTTAGTAACTAGAGTTATAAATAAGGTAACTGTAGCTATAACCCCAACTAGGGTACTTATAACCTTACTTACTAAGTCCCATGATCCTCCAAGTATGCTATGGAGTGAAAGAGAGCTAGACATCTCCGGAAGTGTACGGTCTCGGTTTCTAGCTACAGGGATGAGGAGACACAGGCGCCGGTCTTTGTTGTAAAACATTAGCCACTCTTGCAAGGCGGTGAGCTGCGGGCTCGACATCTTACGCGCTCTTCGAATCTGGGCTCGCGGACATCCTATCTTCAGGGTCCGGGTCTCAAGCCGGGCACGGAGTGATGGGCACCGACATCAGCAGACAGGTAAACCTCCGTGCATGCTACAATCCCAACTCCAGCCGCCTGCTACGTCAACACGCCGCAAGGCAGGTGTGGTTGGGCTCTACGATTACAGGCTAGTCAAATTCCTGAAAAAGGCTTGCATAGACCGTGGTCCAAAACAGACACCGGCACCCCCTAACACCATTCCCAACAGGGGGACGTGCCTGCTTTGCCACGCCCTTGTCAACGGCAAGACGCACGTTGATGTCCTGTTTTCCACGGTCGACAAGATTGGCGTGGACATTCTGCCGAGCTCCCTAAACCCTAAACCCTACTATAACACACCGAAAACACACAGAGTGCACAGAGTGCATGGCCTCTGGGTTCAGGATTGCTGGTCCTGCTCCGGCATCATGCCGACACCCAGAAAAGGCACGCCAGAGCACATGCTCGTCTGCACCGTGCCTCTGGTAGGAGCTGCAATTCAACACGAAATAGCTTAGCTGGGCCTCAAGTGCGGGTTCTGAGGGGTGTCTGTCCCTCGGTGCTTCGGTCCCGCCGTCTCTCTTTCTTTCTCTCTCTCTCTCTCTCCCTCCCTCTCTCTCTCTCTCTCTGTCTCTCTCTCTCTCTCTCTCTCTCAAATCAATGACTGCCTGCCTGCCTGCCTGTCCGTCCGTGCTTCTCCGACTGTCTCTGTCTGTCTGTCTGCCTGTCTGTCTATCCTTCCGACGTCTGTCCGTCCGTCCGTCTGTTTTTCTGTCGGTAGGTGTTACTGCGCTTGGCGTTGGAATGCTTTGCATGCGCCCGCACGGGAAGCCTTCTAAATGAAGCACCACATCTCGAGGAAATACCACGGAATCGGTGCCAAGACACCCTGACCACCGTGAGTAAAGGCCACGTCACAAAGGGGCTCAACCTGCCATGGAATGGACGTTGCAGAATTTGTGCAAGCTGCTCTGGAAAACTAAGGGCTCCGCCTTCTGTGCCGGCAGGAGCTCTGTGGGAAGGAAAAGGCGCTTGGATGCGAGGCCAGCAGAGGCTAGGTCCTCGAGTCCGTGACGCTTTCCTAGAAGGTTCGAAGCCTTCGTAGGGCCTCTTTTTTAGCGGTCGCCGCCGTGTGAGCTTCCCGTGTCAGAGGCTTGTGGGTATTCAATCCTTGTTCCGGAAAGAACGCCGCATGGTGCAAGACGGGACGGCGCAAGCTCTACATGCTTTCAGGTACCGGTCCTCTGCCTTCGTGGTGTCCACGCCCGCCTGCTAAGGACACTCCGGGCTTCTTATCGCCTTATAGCTCTTTCAAAATTCCGAATAAGTCACTTTATGGAAGAACGGCTGCCCGAGGCAGTCAAGTTTCTTGGGGCAACCAAGGAATCGACAAATCGCCTCACGGCTCCGAGACAGCCATCCCAGGAAGCCAATAGGGCCGGCCTTCTTCAAGAGCGTGTGCACAGGGGCCACAATGTACCAGCTCGGGTGCTTGCGCACCAATTCCTCCAAGCAGGCTCAGCACGTGTCTTTCTAGCCGTAAGATGGCTGGGCGCGCAACTGGAAGCCGTGACCTCCAAAGCTTGCAGCAGATTTGGTTTGACGGTAAGTGTGTTTTTTTGTTGTTGCTGCGTTTTTTTGCTGTTCCCGCTGCTGCTGGGGGGTGTTTCGTTCTATGTTCCTGCAACGGAGGGGGGCGGGGGCGGTGGGTGCGTTTTGTGCTGTTGGTGCGGTGGAGGCGTCTTTACTTTTGCTGCTGCTGTGTGCGTGCGTGCGTGGGTGTGCGCGTGCGTGTGCGTGTGCGTGTGCGTGTGTGTGTGTGTGTGTGTTTGTGTGTGCACGCCCCTGTCTTTCTGTTGCTGCTCTGTGTGCGTGCGTGCGTGCGTGC